TTTTATAGCAAATACTCATGATACAAGCATTTATCGTGATTTATTGCTGACTACATTTGCCACTTTAATCATCGAAGCTACATTCATCCCTGTTATTAACGTATCCGGTAGGAGACTATTATTTAGCGGATTAGCTCTGGCAACAAGTATAAGCATATTTAGTATTTGGCTCACTAATACATCAACAGGTGTACTCGCATTTTCATGTCTATTTACTGGGCTATCTGGCGCCGCATGGACCATATTAAATGTATGGACTTCTGAATTATATCCAACACAGCTGCGATCAACATCAAATGGTTATATCAATTTTTGTGGTCGGATTGGAGCCGTTATAGGAACGATGACATTCGGTTTACTGTTGGGACTTGGTTGCAAGTTACCTATTATTATTATGGGCACTGCGTGCTTTATAGCTGCATCACTTGCATTATTTCTATCGGATACTACTAAAGTTGAAATCAATTAATTCAAAGCTAAGCATTGCAGGTTTAATACTGGCTCGATTTATACCAAATTGAAAATAGTATTATCAGCTTGATACAGTTATTGACCAGATAGAATTTGACTTGACATATACAATCATAAAATCAATTGATATGCCGTAATGAAGGCTAGGTAGCTAGCTAGTTTTCTGGTGGCTTGGAAAAACTGCTAGCAGCCAAACGCATATTTACTACTTCAATTTAACTTGCAGGATGCTAGCAAAATAATAATCTGCTGATCATGCGACTTCCTCAGAGACTGAGAAACTAATTAGATCAAAGATCAAATATGAAAATGTCACCAACATTTTGTATATTAAAGTAGAAGATATATATGGAATGCAGCATAGGTTGCATGTACAGTATCAATTATACTTCCATAAAAAATTGTTTTTGTAGGCATAATATTCTCGTATATCTCTCGAACAAAAATCGGTATAATTTAGGAAGAAGAGTTAGGAATTCATATACAGTAAGATAATCTAGCTGTGAATTTTATTTTTAAGTGATGCTTTGTGCAAAATACGATCCCTTTCCTTTAAAGGGATATTTAACTAGCAATATTAAGATATCTAAATAATACAATAAAAAAAGAATTAATTATATGCGATTTGTTTGGCACTAGTTATAAAATCTAGTCATAGATTTTGTTAATGCAATTATCCACAGCATTAAATGGAGATTGATATTACTGTAGGCGTTGCTGTTACTTTGTAGACAAATTAAAAGTTCAAAATCCTTCTAGGCCATTATGAGATACTGCCTATGGAACTATGTAGTGTAAGAGTTGAAAACCCTGTTGGATATGAATAACCACTATGTTTAGCGCTTTCGCTAATATATTGATGATACTTTACCGGCACCTACGGAAAGTGATTTAAAGTGTTCAGTTAAAGGAGAAAATAGACTGTGTATCTTCTCTTATTGTAGAAAGTTACCCACTAATTAATTAATCTTTATCCGGATGAATATCAGGTTATTTTGAAACGGCCATCGTTATAGCGTTAAATTCACAACTTCAAAGTAAAATTGAAAGACAGCCACAGAATCTCGAAGTCCAGACATATCTGTACATATTAAATTCTTGTATTTGTGATCAGTTCGTACAAGTTGATACAAAAATTGCAATATCGAATATAAGAGATCGTTTTTTTATAGTAGCACTAGCCAAATCCGCACACCCAGCTATGCGTTAAACATATTATATAGTCCAATCTGAAGCCTGTAACTTGCTATAAGATGTTAGCAAGCCTACCATCCTAGACAGTATAATAATACATTTACATACAGTAGACATATTTGAACTCTATAGACTGTGTATAATATCGTTTCTGCCAAGGCCGCGTATCAAATGTCATTGCTACAAAACGATACAATAAGAATTCTAGGCCGTATAGATATTTCGTTATCCTTTTTTATGAAGCTATGAAGTCATAACCATTTTTTCAGTAGAAAATTTAATCGTTTACTATTAGACTTATTATTCAATGGCTAGAGAAAAGTACATTGGTGCTACCATTTATATCGAAGTTATTGGCGTTAGAAAATTCAACATTCACGAATAAATTCAGAAGATTTAATATGTTAATGCGTTCAATATTATCAGGAAAGGAAATAATTCTACTTTTGCCACAATTATCTCTTGCTTACGTGCTCTTGGGGTAATATTACAACGTATATAATATTTCTATTTAGTTTTTTAACGTTTAATCTAATTTTATTACATAACTCTACTCTGATATTAACTACAATATTTCGTAACATAATAAGGTATAGATTTTGCGTTATCTACTACTTCAAAAGCAGTCATATACCAATCCGTGGCTCAGCATTGCCTACAACATAATCTCTATAATTAGAAAATACTATATACTAACAGATTATAATAATCGTGATTGATTATAATGGTATTCTATAAATGTGTTATTTTATACTTGTTAGTTTTATATGTTCATTATAGATTGTATTACGTATATCAATTAAGCCACTGTTTTATAAAACTGGTAATTATATTGCGTTGTAAGTGTGAACGGCGTACGCACAAAAGCTGTCATTTTTCAATGCAATAAAGACGGAGTAGTAGGTAGTACCGTAGTTAGTTTTACGATAACTCCAGCTATGCTTTCAATTTCCTGTCTGCCATGCTAATTGAAAATAGTACGAAATTTCAATATGCTTGCTAGTATTAACTCTAGATACACAACAATCAATATTTAAATATTTATCTATAGAAATCTCTTTTTTACTCGAATCTAACCAGTAAATCCAGTCTGTACAAACAGACTTATATCATTGCTTGTGCTAACATTTTTACTGACGTTTCGAAAGCGCTAAGATTAGCGCAGCACCTATGATATAGAATCGCTATGTTAAGACTTTAGGGAAGAACGTCTATGATTAGGACTTCCTGGCACATACTACTACTTGTACTGATACTTCGAAAAAGCTAAAATTAGTGCAGTAACTATGACACAGACTAGCTATGTGGGACCGTCGGGAAGAATCTCTATGGTTAAGACTTCCAAGAGTTATGAAAGCTTACTGTAGATTCTACAGACACCCTACTGTATAATCCGCCGTCGAGGGTAAAAAACCTAGGAATTTTTAAGTAAAGCGTGCTGGGGATTCTGTCGCAGAACTACCATAACCTAGGAGTAAGGGATTTTTATTACTCATTCACGTTTATGAATAATTCTCTACGGATGTATTTCTTACCTTAGCAAAGCTATCTTCGTACTGTACATAAATCTCGTTAGTTAGTTCTGCTAACTACATGGTAAGCTTGTATACGTTATCTATTCCTACTCTACGGTAACTATTCCACTGGTTCACATCGCTCTACATGCTATAATCTTATGTGGTTTTTCTTTTCACAGGCATTACAATAAAGACTACTAGCTATTCTTTTGTAATTTCTTGCGATTGTGTTGGATACACAATCTCCTGAAGCATTACATACTGCGTAGACTCTGTTTCATTAGTTAGTTTTATAAGTACAGTAGAATGTTGAAACTATCTTGGAATGCGATTTAATAACTAATACGTGATCTTCGAAAACCTCAAGAGCTCTTGAAGCCTATAAACGGTGCAGCTTGAAGATTTGATAAGGTAGCATTTTTATACTCTTAACAGCCTAGAAATTTTAATCAAAATTCCCCAATTGAAGTCTGCACCATAAATTTGTTATTGATAAGGTTTGAGCTAGTGTACTAGCTCAATTATTGATTCGCTTAGAGATTTTCTATATTTTCAACTACTTACTCGGTAGATTCACCAAATTCTAATAATCTATCCAGTCACTTTTCTCTATTAATACTATAACATCAAAGTATTGTAACATTGACTAGAGCGCAAGAATCACAAGAAGTAAAATTCTTTTTACTACACTTCAAATTTATTCCAATTTTGCATATTATGTAATATCAAGAGATTTTACTATAATCTAACACAACACTGTATTAATTGACAAACCCGATTATGGCAAACTTTCGTAGTACTTTCATCGAAATATGAGTTACGTATTTCTTAACTGCTATTACAAAAATAATCGGTTTTCAATTTAACAGAAAGCTATGAGAAGTGCAATATAGTTATAAAAAGGATAGTTAACACCAGTATCAATTATTTAAACGTCTTTAGCATTGACTAGAAAGTTTGTATCGAAGAAGAAAGGATGTATAATTTGACTACAATCTACTGTCCTACTTTTCTGTAGCTGATTTGGTAAAAATAATTCTAAGAAATGCGAACCTTGTAATGAAAGATCTTATTCTAATTTAATTAACTTGCAAAACACTTAAACTACGTTATAGGCTACGCTTAAGAGTGCAATGCTGACGAAGGAGGAGACCATGAGCGTTGATTTTTAGAAATGATACTAGTGTAAGAATAATAAAAGACAACCATTTTCAATCAATACTAGAGTTTTCTTACGTCAATAGTGTCTATTACCATGTTAACTTACCTCTTGACTTTTGTTTTCTTCGTAAGTAATTCCCCCATCTTATCCAATATCGCAATGGAAGCAAAGAGTAATTAGTCATAGTTTCGCGTAAGTAAAATGACTGCATTAACACCACGTTTATATTTAAAATAGATAACAAGAATATTAAACGTTTCTATGACCTTCCATACTCACGTTTTAAATTAGTTGCAGCGATAAGATCAGAAGAAGTAGATGTTTCCCTACAAGAAAATTAGTAAATTACTCAAATTATATAAACACTATATAGCATAATACACGTATTAATCATCACCAACGCATATTTTCCAATCTACTTACCTTTTTGCTTTGCCAATGTAATAATAGCGCAACATAAACGCAATGATAAGTAACGTACCAAAAATTGATCCTAGAGAGATGCCAATGATTGTACCAGCTAGAATATGCAGAATGGGTTTATGATAAAAGGATTTTTAATCTGGGTTAAAGTACTACTACATATTACCAGAACACTTTAAAGATACCCTATCGTAATTTGCTGTAATCACTACAAAGTTAGCTTAATATCTAAGGTGATATCATAATTCATATTTATGATTATAACAGTATGAATAGCTGAGTAAATTACTCACTGTAGTTTCCAATAGCTTCTGTAAAACTATTAACTTACATGCTAGGGAGGCGCTTTGTGTGCATCTATCTCCACTTACCCCTGGAATTGTGCATCTGGAATATCGTAAACAAGCAAGTATATTAAGTTGAATTCTTCGATTATGAATAATAATGAAACTGACCATGATTACTCTCAGTCAGTAGTAATAAAGTAGATCAGTTTGAAACAATTAATTTTGTATGCATATGCTATCAATAACTCAAAGTTGATCGTATAAACTTACTTGCATCTAGGTGCGTTATTGACTACATGGCATATTCCTTGGCCAGAACAGTAATTTGGTGTACAGATCACTAAATCAAAATATTATAAATTAACCGTTAGCTCTATTACACCAGAATGCGTGCTTATTTCTTTCAATTATAACAAAATTAAATAAAATTTTTGATATGAAAGTGCAGTAATTATGTTACTCTTACAAGTACAACTTAATTTTCCGTCACCAATATATCCATTGTTGCATTGACATTGATATGAGCCAACAGTGTTGGTGCAACTTGAATTCTGATGGCACGGTGATACCGATTTCTGACATTCGTTAATATCTGTAATAATGAAAGGTACATAGTGTCAAATATTGAGCCGCTTATAAGAAATTTGCTCAACTTAATATCGGTATCGTACAATTTAAATATAGCAATACTGTATACATATACGAATGCATAAATAAGTATATGTCTGTATATCAAAAATTTGCTAAAATTAATGAATATACAGTAGTATTTGTTGAGTTACAACTTAAAATAAGAGCTAAACTGTTATGATAAGTATATCATATGCATTGCTGATACTAGCTAGTTTATCTGCTATTTATGTCTAAAATGGGGAATGGAGAAAAGAAAAATGCAATTGCTACTTAACGCCTACCAATACATAGTTGAAGTGATGCATTAAATTGATATCCAGTTGAGCAGTTGCAAGTATAAGAGCCTACTGTATTGATACATTGCTGATTTCCAACACAAGAGTAATCTTGAGGGTTATTACATTCGTTATATTCTGAAATAAAATGTGATATTAGATTTTATCATAATACGAGTAATATTGTAGCCCATAGTAATTATGATTTATTTTAAAATAAAGG